CTCTCTCGCAACTATGCCAGTGACGAACAATGTGAGTCCGGGAGCAAGAAAACTTTATTATTTGATTTCGAGAAAATCATCTTTTATAGCCTTTTCCGCGCCCATTCAAAATTATTTGCGAACTTCTCTGGTGTGAATATCCAGCAAATTTTTGCAAACAATGATTTAATCCACTTGCTAGCCAGTGTTCAATGACGAAGCGTGAATGTAACGGATACATTGCGCCGAATACTCGTTGCAGCGGTTTTTCTTTCTTCTGGTCATCATCACCTTCACAGCATAAGGAACCACTCACAAAATCCTACCCGCATCCATTTTCGAAGAGTACATACATATGTGTATGTGTACGAAGACACTGCTTCAGAGCTAGCTGCGAAGCTTCAGCATACAAGGCATTTTTGACGCATCACGAGCTATGGACAAGAAGTCTTCTCGAGCTCTAATGCTCATACTTACCACTTTTACATATCTGCTTCTTGGTGCTGCCGTATTCGATGTACTTGAAAGCGAAACGGAAAGATACGTCCGCGAAGAAATTGCCTTTGTACAGGAAAAGCTTCAAGCCAAGTACAATTTTTCCGTCAGGTAATCTTTGGTTACTACATTTTCCTTATTTATGGTATCCAGCTTTGCTGCAAGTTATAAGAGCGATTACGAGCAACTCTTTGCTTCAGAGACATGCAGCTGTTTGAATCCGTAGCTGTTAAGAGCATTCCTCATAAGGCTGGCTTCCAGTGGCAATTTACCGGAGCATTCTACTTTGCAATAGTTGTGATTACTACTGTAGGTGAGTATCCTTATAAAGAATGTGCGGTACACGCATCCAAGCAATCAAATCACAGGTTACGGTCATTCGGCCCCAGAGACAACAGCCGGACGATTTTTCTGTATGGTATTCGCCCTGGCTGGCATTCCCTTAGGCCTTATCATGTTCCAATCAATTGGTGAACGTGTCAATACATTTATAGCCTTCTGCCTACATCAGGTAGCATGTTTGCCACTGACTTAGTTTAAGGTTATGCGAGTGAGTCCGCCTCCTAGGTTTAGTTGCAGTTCAATCTACAAAAACGAGGATACACTTGGATGCGAGAGGTTGCAACGAAACATCTTCTGCTTGTCTCGCTTTCCATAGGAACAAGCATAATTATAATCGGTCGGTGAAAACGTTACTTATTGAATGGATGTAGATGTTGTTACTCATTATTAGGTACGGTAGTTTTCCACAGGGAAGAGCGTTGGACACTCTTCGATGCTTACTACTACTGCTTCATAACGTGTAAGCTCTGATCAGCTGAGAACCGGCTCATAATTCTTCAAAAATTCATTTATAGTATCCACCATCGGTTTCGGGGATTTGGTCCCGCTGCAACAAGGATCAGCTTTGCAACTCCGCCCCTTCTATGTTGTCTTCACACTGTTATTCGTAGTCCTAGGACTGGCTGTTTTCTCTGCTTGTGTGAACTTGCTGGTTTTAGGGTGAGTCAAATTTTTCACGAAATTCAGGCCTAAACAGGCTTGACAGTAACCTGTAGAAATTGTCAGCGCATCGTAATCCCGAAACGGTAAGGATGGTTAGTCGAAGTGGCCTTGAAAAGTGAGTATACCATTGTGAAGTGCAGAAAACGCTGATTCCGAAACTGCCTACCTTATCCGCGGAGCCTTTCTGGACACGGAGCTATGGGCGTTTGATAGAGCAAGAAATCGAAGGTGGAAGTAGGGTAAAGTCGTAGCCAGGGCCCGGCACAGATGGTTCGGGGTCAAACTGGAC